TAAATGTTAAAAAAAAAAAAAAAAAAAAAGAAAGAAAGAGATAATAAATTATCAAGGGCACTATGAACAAAACCTATAACCACGTACACGATGGCCCTTGAAGGATATGCTAAACTGGTAACAAAGGTACCCCTGGGAAGGGACTGGGCGGAAGAGGAGATATTTGCAGGTAGAAGAGGAATGGTGAGACACCATGGGGAAGGATGGTAAAGGGAAATGTTTAAATATTGGTTGGCTGATTGAGGGTGAAGGTCTAAAGCTCGTGGGCTCAAGCAGTCCTCCTGCCTCAGCTTCCAAGCAAGTGGGATTACAAGCATCTACCACCGTGCTTGCCTCCAAAGAGAATACCTGCGTCTCCTTAGTGTCGGACACACAACGTGCGCGCTCCCGGCCCCTTGCCAGGGCTGTCCAGTGAGAACTCGAGCTGCTCCTCTATTCACTTTTCCGTGCTGGACTTTTGTTTCCAAGGTGAAACTGAGATTCACAGCAAAGAAGCCTGGGGTCTCTCGGGCTGGCTGTGCTTCACTCAGCAAATATTGACAGAGAAACTTGGATGGAGGGTGTCGCAGGGCTTGGGCTCCCAAGTGCCACTAGCTCCGATACTTGGGATAAGCCGCGTGAAAGGGGCAGAGGACGAGCTATGAACTCTCTGAAAGCTCCAAAGACCTCCAGGAGGCGGAGGTGCAGGTTTTGGGCCGTGCTGAAAGCACAGAGCCTTCCTGGAGAAGCCTGGGAGATGGCTGGGGGTGGGGCTGGGGGTGGGGGTGGATCGGGTGGGCGCCGGGCCAAGGCTTCAGCTGCCACGAGTCCCAGAGACCACAGTTCCTGTGGCCAATCCTAACTTAGACTCCGGTCCGGAAGAAGGGCATTGACCTCGATGCTGAAGCCCCAGGGGCTCTGGCTACAAAGAGGATGAGTAGGGGCCAGGGAGATGGCTCAGCGGAATAAGCGCTTCCCTGGCAAGTGCAAGGGTCTGAGTTCAATCCCTGGTTCAGCAAAAAAATTTAAAAAAAAAAAGGTTCCAAAAAAGTCACTAAATTCAACCAGGTTGGGGCTGGTGAGATGGCTCAGTGGTCTAAAGCACCTACTTAGAACAAGCTTAGCAAAGCACAGGGACCGCGGTTCAATCCCTCAGCACCACATGCCAGCCAGCCCTGCCCCCTGGTGGGCTGAGCTGGCCACACACACACACACACACACACACACACAAATAAATAAATTTTTAAAAATAAATAAATAAATTCAACCAGGTTGGGCTCGAAATTGTGACCCACCCACCTCAGCCTCCCAGAGTATTGATATTATCTGTCACCACACCAACTGAAAAAATTTTTTTTCTTTTTCTTTTCTTTCTTTCTTTTTCTTTTTTTTTGCGGTGCCAGGGATCCAACTCAGGATCATGCCAGGCAGGCCCCTATCTCACGGAGCTATATCCCTGGCCCTAAAACATTTTTATTCTTTTTATTTTTTTTATTTTTTATTTTTTATTTTTTATTCTTTTTTTAAATGTATTTGGAGTCTGTTTTTGGCCTCCCCAGTGCTGAGATTACAGGCATGCGCCACCATGGCCCAACTCAGTAGCAGGCTCAGGGCGCCCGGGGGATGGGGCCGGCGTGGCATGCCACACCAGGGATCAAACTCCTGTCCCTGCGCTTGCCTAAGCAGGTGCTTAGTCTGCTGAGTCGTCTTGCTGGCCCTGAAAACACATTTTGCAAGCAGAAAAAAAACTTGGGTTTCAGAACTGGCCTTCCTATTCCCTATCTGTGGTGTTGAAACTGGTTTTCGGAGCAACTCAGAGCCTGTAGGAATGATGAGAGCGCCCATCCTGGGGCCCAGCTGAGGCCCAACCGAGAGGCGTGTGGCCAGCAGGGAAGCCTCCGTGGAGGCCTGGCCGTGGCACTAGCAGGGCTTCCCTGGGGCCTTCTCCTTCTTGGGAGACATGAGCTCGAGGTCTGCAGCCCTTGGCTCCCCTCCCTCACCACAGCCCGGTCCCCACCACCTCCAGGACAGGGGCTCCTGGCAAAATTTTCCAGCTGAAGCGGACAGCCTGGCTTAGATCCCCTTTATTGGTTTCCAGCAAATTAAAATTTATCTCTCAGGGAGGAAATGAGGGTTCAGGGTTTCTCTCCTTTTTTTAATGGGCCCTAATGAAGAAAAAGACTTGGGGAAGGGATCAGAAATCTGATCTACCACTCATAGGCTCAGAAAGGTCCAAGGGGCTCCCTGCACCCCTCCCTGGGGCAGCTGGGCACAGCCTGTTTTATTATATAATTAACCTTGACCCTTCTGGGTTCAAAGAGAGAGGTTAGCTGGAAATAAATCAATAGTCTGGGCTGATCACTTCAAAGGCTGCAGAACCCACTGGAAAATTCCATGTTGGTTCATTGTGTAAATGGGGAGAGGTGTGCGATTCCTTTTGAAAGGCAGGAGGAGAGCTTGGGGTTGAAAATTGAAA